GCAAGTTTTTGAAGCATAATATCGTTTCTTCTTTATCCTATTCTGTATCTGCATACTTATATGTAGTAGTAGTAGTTAGCCAAATACTTTACGAGTAAAATAGGTTTAAAACAAGTTACCAATTTACAAACTAAGGTTGTGTGGGTATGAAGGAAAACATATGCGTTCGAGAAAATAAGTTACTTTTTGGCAACCAAAGTACCAAAAATCTTTTCTGTTAAAATGGGAAAAACGACTTTCTTGGCTTATGTTTTTTGTCTAGTTGAAATATTTTCTAAATTTTAAAGAATGTTGAATAGTGAGATAAAGTTTCTACTAAAAATATTTTTCAGAGAATATTTTTTATGAAATATTTTCCGTCATGCCAAACACACAGAATGGGATTAAAAGTGAAGGTTTTTTTCCCTTTTGAAGTTTAACTTTCCTATATGTTCAAGCTTCTGATGAAACATTTTAACTATTATGTCCCAAATGTTCTGAGCTTTATTGGAAAGAGAACAGATAGCGTAGAAACAGTGAAATAAATATTCTATTTTAGGGTTTATCAGAATGAGGAAGAATTGTTATAATTAGGTGATTTAGCAGTCATTAATACTTGGAAAATTGTGTCTAATCATTACTTTCATGTACATTAACTTGATACAGGCGCTTCAACAACCATTGGTTTCTAATTATAAAATAAAGATTTAACTTATATTCAATGACACTATGGATACTTTTTATACTATCAATTCTTTCAGTTATTACAGGTTATTTAATATATTTTTTAGGTTACCGAATTACAATAATTATATTTAGTTACCGTGTGGTTATATATATAATTTTACCTGATAGTGTAAAAATAAGTTGTAAATTATTGGTGCACTGACTTAAACTCCTAAAGTTATAAATACTAGCTAACTTTTATTAAAAAGGTAAATATGAATAATTGAGGGACAAATGCACACATAAAAGCTTGCACAAAAATATTCCTTTTCTTTCCCAAAAGAATGCTAAGGTTAAAAACCAAAAAAGTAAAAAAGGAAAAAAGAGTAAAAAGGAAACAAAGTCCCAAAACTCATTTTACTTTTTCTTTTTCTCCTCATCTTTTTTCTTCCTTTTCATCTTACCCCTTGTCCACAGAAGAATNTCATTTTCTCAAATATACTTCACACAAAAGAAACAACCATTCACTTCATACACCTTGTCATTTCCTCCTCCCCTTTTTTCTCTCCTTTCTCTCTCAATCTCAAATCCCAACAACTACTCACTCTCCTTCAATTGATCATCATCAAACCCCATTTCAAGAAAATCCCAAATTTTCTCTCTAGTTATCTTTACACTACTCATATATACTATTGATAAATAGTCCTTGTTATAACCTACTTACAAACACAAGAAACAACAACAAGAAAGGTTGAAAAGGGAGAAAGATCATGAGTTATTCGTAATCTGTCTTATTTTTCTGGTTACTAATTCTGTATGTGCTTATTTCTTGAAAAAAGATGGAGTTATTCCCAGCGCAACCGGACTTATCCCTACAAATTAGCCCTCCAAACAACAAACCCTCATCATCATCATCTTGGAAGAGAAGTACAAGTAATAGTACCAATGAAAATCAAGAAATGGATTTAGGTTTTTGGAAAAGAGCTTTGGAATCAAGAAACTCATCCAATAATAATAATAATAATAACAATTCTTCTTGTTTTGAGCTATCTTTATCATCCAATATTAATCCAAGACCTAACTCTAGCCAATATTTCCATCATCTCCAAAACACTAACACAAATATCATCCACTCTTTACATCAAAATCAAGTACTAAACCCTATAAGAGGAGTTCCAGTTTATAATCAAAACCCTTTTTTCCCATATGATAATGCTAATACTACAACTACATTACCTATACCATCTTCTGTTAGTTCTTTCAATTATAATCATACAATCTCTTCATCAAATAGCCATAGCCATTTTCAATCCCGTCATTATCATCAAAATGGGCTAATTAGATCAAGATTTATGTCAAGATTTCCAGCTAAAAGAAGTATGAGAGCTCCGAGAATGAGGTGGACTAGTACTCTTCATGCTCGTTTTATTCATGCTGTTGAGCTTTTGGGTGGACATGAAAGTAGGTTTTTTTCTACTTAGTGTTTTATTTAATCTTTAATTCACTATTATTGAGAATGGATTTAGCTTATATACACGGTGTTTGATATGGTTTGTGTATTTTAACCTGTTGTACTGAGTAATCTGTTTTATTTTTCAGGTTACATTACTTATCCCAATTTTTATGGAATGCTATATAAGTGATTTGATTGTATAAATTATTTTTCAGATTTTAATATCGGTGTAAAAAAGTTAAACTCACCGAAAAAATAATTTAACTTATATATAATAGTGCTTAAATCTTTGGCGTTATCTGTTTATTTTAAATATTATGGTAAATTTTTTATCTTATTATTCAGATTATTGATCCCAGTCTTTATGGACGGTTATTGGTAGTGTGTAGTAGTTAGATTTTCTGAGAAAAGCTAGTATTATGAGCTTAATTAACTAAATTTCATTTTTGTTTTTGTTTTTTGGGAATGTAGGAGCAACACCCAAGTCAGTTCTTGAGCTTATGGACGTGAAAGATCTCACCTTGGCACATGTTAAATCCCATTTACAGGTAAATTCTTGTACAAAGTCCTCTCATTCATTCTCTCTCTTCATTTGTTTTTGGTTAACAAGAGAATCCGTAGCCGCTTTCCTTCGGATCGCACTGGGTAAATCCCGCTCTTGTGCTGCAGCCGGCAAATTACACAGGAGAGTAAATCGTATTAGGCAAGTTCCGTGCGATAGACTCAAATTCAAGTAGATTTCGAACTTTAGATCAGAACTCCCGTTTGGGAAGTTCCCTGCTCAACCAACTCAGCGACGCCTAAGGGTCTCTCTTCATTTTGATGTCCAAATAATGTGTTTTTGGAGTTTTGACAAAAGGCAATGTTTTCGAATTTCAATAGTAATGTGTTTGAGTAAAATTATCTTTTTGGAGTCTTAACAAAAGGCTATGGTTTTCTTTACTACTTTGGACAATAGCCTACATCATCAGAAAGATGTTTATTTCCACAGACATTTCAAATTCCAATGACTCTTTTTAATACATTTTGTTTTTAGTTTTTTTTTTCTCTATCAAAATTCTCAGAACTTCTTTTTCTACTTAGTAGATCTGATGGTTCTGCAATCTGCAACCCTATTTTTGCAGCTTTTTTTCGCCTGGGAGAACGAACCATAGACTGATGTAGTAGCAGTACGAGTTCTAGTAAGAAAAAGAAAAGAAAAAAGAAGAAAAACTCAGTTCAATAAAAGGAGAGATTTTTGGCGGGGTGTGTGTGTGGGCAGGGGGGGGGNATAAGTTTAATTATAATAATTATTGTAATTTTAATAAATTTTTATATCTATATATATCTATATCATGTCGAAAATATAGATATATGGTAAGATTGCGTACGATAGACTCTTGTAATCCGGTCCTTCTCAGAACCCCGCGTATAATGGGAGCTTAGTATATCGGGTTGTACTTTATCATGTCGAAAATATATGAATCAATAACCAAAAGGCTACATCAGCTTGTGGAGGTGGGAGCTTATAAGACAAATTTAGACACATTATTTTTATAATTGAATTATGTACATCGGTACAGTATGATCTTTTTAGGTTAAATTGATCTACAATAATATAATTCCACAGCATAAGTCAATTTTTGGTAACGTAGAAGATCTAACAAATACTTGTTACAATAAAATATTACTACACTAATAACATTATAATTAAAACAATTACACTATCAACATCATAATATATAACTTAAATCCTTATTTTTACTTTCACTGTAGTAATCAGCATTTAGGACCACTTATAAATGTACTATTCTCCTCTGGATCTTTTACTGAAGGAAAGATATGGCTAATAATAAGAAAGTACAAACAGCTATCATCACATAGTGAAAATTCCCTTTTGTTGGTTTTTTACAATTCCCAAAATCTCCTCTATGATAAGTATATGATTTTTGGCGTTACTTTACAAAATAAAAGAAAAGAGTGTTTATATTTTAAGATTTTAACTTACATAATTTACATTCGCAATATCATTGTACTTTAACATATTATAGCAAATAATTTGAGTTATATTTCATATGTTATACTAATCCCACTTATATAAATTGTTACATATAGTTATTTTTAAATGATATATGATAGTGTAAGAGTTCTATTTTATTATCAGTACATAAAAGTTAAATACTATCCGACGGTGATGGTTTATATATTTGCAGATGTAACGGACGGTGAAGACAACTGATAAAGCAGCAGCAGTAGCAGCTTCTTCAGGTGCAAAATACAGTCTAATTTGTGTATGACTGATATATAATTTATTTCGTTGAGACTGGTTGTTCATTATAGGGTGTTTTTAAGAATAATATTACTATAAAACATGAGTACTAGCAAGCTACGTAGCACGGACTCCAAAAAATATTGCCGCATACGTATCAAATTCTCCAAAAATAATACTTTTTTGGAGAAACCAATACGATCCGACTATATTTTTGAAAAATCCGAGTAACATGAGTATTGATTGTTTTTTAATTTCGTTATGACTAATTGTTCACAAGGTATTTTTAAGAATAAATTTTACTATAAAGTATGAGTACTAGCTAGCAGCGCGGATTTAGAGTGTTGGTTACAAGTTCACGTGAATACGATAGTTTTTTCTTGATTCTATATATAAATTAAGATATTCACTAAATACCTACAAATTTTTTATTGCGAACCTGATTATTATTGTAGTATTAGTTTGAGATTATATTGCTGTAGAAACTCATTTCATATACTTCTTAAGTAATATTTTTTGTATGTAAAGCAAAATTGATATGTCGTCCTTTTTTTTCTTTACGTTTGAACGTTTTTAGGCCAATCGGAGGTGTTTGATAATGGATCATCTGGGGATAATAATTCAGAGGAATTANTCTTCTTTCCGAGCCGATGGTCTATTGGAAATAACCTCTCTACCTTCATTAGGTATGGGTAAGGTCTGCGTACAGACTACCCTCCCCAAACCCCACATGTTAGAAATATACTGGTATATATGTTGTTGTTGTTTGTATATATACTCGTACATTCCTGATTAAGACGTAGTAGTTGTTATATACTCGTGGCATTTCTTTTCCATTTTTCTTTTCGAAGTCTATTTATGCTTGAAACCCCCTAGAACTAATGAGAGGATAGCTTTAAAAAAGAATAACAAATGTGAAATGGCTAGTGAAAATTCATATAGACCGCCCTGACTAACTTAAAAGTGAGGCTTAATTGTTGTTGCTGCTGTTATCGTTGTAATAACGAGAGAAAATTAAGAACAACCTACACGTGTCCAGTTAAAACAAAATCACTTTTACACCTCCAAAAATCTGTTGGAACCACAGAGGGAAAAAAAGATGAATTACAAACTCCTATGTTCCCTTTTTAGATATTTCTGCAAAAAAAAAAAAAAAAGACTAAAAATGTGAAAATTAAATGCTTGTGTTCAAGTTTTAGAAAGATTGAAAATTTGTAGTTTGTTAACAATTATTGGCCTAAGAAGTGAATTTCCTATGCCAAACATATTCAAAAGTTGTATCAGTAACGTAACCTGGAAAACAAAATAAATATAACATGTTACTACTACGTATCAGATAATTTGCATTGGCAGTTTAACAATCTTTATATATGCTGTGTGTATACAACTTAAATCTGTAGAAAGGTACCAAAATGACAAAAATCAACCTAAAAAGATACGCATATATAACTTTCCTATGGATAATGTGGGCTCGGATAAAGCATTTGAAAGAAGACCCTTTACTAGGAAACTTAGCGTCAAAGCTAATTCTGTATGTAAATTATTAAAATTGTTTAATTGTTTTGATAAAGTTGTCTCCGTATAACCTATACGTCACGGATTTGAGCCATGAAAGCAAGTACTAATGCTTGTATTAGGGTAGGATGTCTACATCACACCTCTTTAGGATATGATTCTTCCACGGACCTTGTGCAAATGCAAAATATTTTATGTACCGAGTTATATATATATATATATATATATATATATATATATATTTGGTGTCAATGGCAAAGGACAATGGCCATATAGGAGTAGAAATTTCCTTCACCTGGGTGTAGTATTTAACTTTTGTTTTAGCCAAAGGGGAAATCATAAGAAGATGAAAAGAGTAGAAAAAGATAAAAGAAGCTATAAATAAGAGATACTAAAAGATAGCTTTTCTGTTTTCTCAGTCTCACTTTTTCTTTCTTTTGCATGCATGGCCTCCACTAATTGAAAATATTCTCTTGAAAATTGGCAATATTTGTGTTATATAGCAGGGAAAGTTGGCAGTTGCATGGCAAACAAGGAGATTATCCAGGAAACATACCTTCTCTAGAGGTACTGTTATTATTATTATTATTATTATTATTATTCTAGTTTGCAAACTGTACACTGTCAATATATCAAAATTAAACTTAGAAAACTTTAAGTTCTATGCATTGAATAATATACAAAAAATATTTACACAATCTTATAAAGGTAAGTACTAGTACTAAATTGTCTATGATAAGCATTAGTGGATGACTCGGTAAAACTAGTAATTGACTTGGTATCACATGTTAAACTAATAATGTTAAAATAATTTTTACAGTTTCCGTCAATATATAAAACTTAAATTCTGGAATTAATAGTCAAAATTCTTTCTTTCCTTATTTTTCTTTTGATGAACTTGTTGATTTTGTGGAAAAGATCAAGCTTATCAAACTATAAATGCATATTATGCTTCTAATGCATGGATATATAGGATATAATATTCTTCTAATCTGTCCAAGCTAGTATTGGTGAACAGAGTTATTAGTGAAAGTTAACAGACGTCCCATAAAATAAGTCGAGGTAGGCGCAAACTGACCCGAACACGCTGTTATCCTAAAAAAATATTTTAATTCTTAGATAGAAGTACATACACACATGCAGTGTATCAGTAAGAGGGAAGCAGGCTTCATCATTGTTACATATATTCCTCAAATATAAATCTGTCCTTTTGATTCCTTTATTTACACACACTTCTCTTGTTTCTACTTATTATTATTATACTTCCTTAGTACTAATTCATTTTTTTCTTATTTGAAAAAAAACAATTATACAGCAGAAAGATAATATTGAAGCAAAATGCTTAAGCTATGAGGGAATATCAGCAGAAGTGAGCTCATCAACTATAACAGAAGCAAGTCCAGAGAAGCCTAATTTGGAGTTCACTTTGGGAATAAGGCCTAATATTTCATAGTACTAAAAAAGAAAGCAAAAGTACTACTCATTTTGAAATCATTATATACTTTTTGATTTTGACTAGTGAGAGTAGTAAAAAGAACCAAAAAAAAAAAGAAAAAAGAAAAAAGAAGAGAGAATCAGGTTCCCACTGAGATAAAAATAAAAAGAAAAGGGAAAGAAAGGAAAGGCAAAAGTGAGCTAAAGAACGACAAAAAGAGAAAGAAAAAAAGAAGGGAAAAGTAAAAGTGCATGTAATTATTCCTATTATAATATTCTTGTGACCTCCAAATCAAACAGTATTTTACATTGTTCCTTTCTTTCCCTGCAAAAGAGGAAAAACGAAGAAAGCATATTTGAAATCTAATTGATTTTAGTATTGTTATAGTAGTAAGAGATTAGTTACTATATAGAGAGAGAGTTGAGAGAGGAAGAAGTAAATCTCTTTCCCTTGTTACAATTGTATGATCATTTACCTTTAGCAAGAAATATAATATCTCTTTCTTATATTATCTGTCTTTTAAAGGTTTTCGCACATTTCTTAAAAAAAGATATGTAATGGTCTTTAGCATAAGCATGTGTTTAAATTATTGTTATCTCTGCTTAAATATCTCACTTAATTAACACTTCACTGATAAACTTGAAACAATAAAGGTAAATTTGGATAACAAGTGACGAATGAGTTTTTCTTCTTTTAAAATCTTGAATATTCTGAAAGAAATTCCGTAAGTAAAAATAACTAATATTTAGGCGAGGATATGTTTTGTACGAAGGTAAACATAAAATATTTTCAAAAAATAAGTTATTTTATGGCAATCAAACACTAAAAAAATTGGAAAATATTTTAAGGGGAAAATATTTTTCTTCTCTTATCTTTTCTCTAATAGTCCATTTGAAGTAGTTTCTATTATTTAGAGAGTGTTGTATAATAAAATAATGTTTCTTGAGAGAGTATAATTTTTGGGAGGATTAACTATTTAATTTTTGGGAGGAATGACTATTTATTCCCAGGCATTGTCACATGCTTTACACTTTTCCAACAAAGGAATTGGACAGAAAGGAAAGGAATGGATAACAAGAATTATTGATAAAAGAACTGAAAGAATGCAGACATAGAAAATGAAAAATAACAAGAAGAAAAAGGCAAGAAAATAAGTGAAGGCTATAATCAGTAGTAGTCCCTTTATGCTCTTTGTATGAGTATCTTTTCTCTTTATCAATAACCTGTTCTCCTTCTTAAATATAAAGTTCTAATATTATTATTGTTGTTATTATTACTATATACTACTACCATTATTTATATATTTATTTTTTTACTTGCACTTAATTATATTTTCGTAATAATAATGATATGAATTGATTTTAATGAAAGAATTGAGGATTCATATCGCGAACCCAACATGTTTGGGACTAAGGTATAGTAGTTAGTTGTTGTTATGATAGTGATGCCCGAACCAGCTTAAGACCCCTCGATTAATTCTACCAGATATGTCGACTGTATTGGTAAAAATAAATATTACATGTGGAATTAAATATGTGGCTGATATGACAAGGCACGTGGACCACTAAAAAAATGACACCTGGAGAGATGCATTAAAAGATATACGAGTCATAACAGATACGAGCAAATCACCCACGAGATGAAAGGATATGGTCGCTCGAGTCTAAGTAGTTAAATGAAGAGGCATCGGTGGAATGAATCAAGACAATAAAGAGGAAAGATTCATGAATTGTCAATTAATGAGCGTGAATGATCACAAACGTTACGGAATCTTCATGAACAGTTACGATTATCAATTATAACGTCTCATTAATATCATTAATGCTCATAATGATTCGGTCATAAAAGGAAAAAGATATTGTACTTATAGACTCCTATATAAGGGAAAGAGATGTCACTTGTACAGACATGTTCTGATTATTATGGGAATATAATTACTTTCTCGTGCTTTCTATTGATTATTTTGCCATTTCTTATTCTAATTTCCTTTCTTATTTCTGAGAGAATATTGAATTTCTTGATTATCAGTAACCCGAGTACTTCTAAAAATAGGTTTTGACTGAGAGTCTAATTCTTTGGTTAAACATCGACTTTCCAAGATATTCTCATAATATATACTTTTCCTGAATTTTAAGAAGAATTTTCAATTTCCTTCATCTTTCTATTTGTTAATTGTTGTATAAAGACAATGTATATGGTTAAAACATGAGTTGAATTACTTGAATATAGTGTCTTTTTAAAAAACCAAAGTATATACTTTATTTTTTTTGTTTTCCACTACTTTTAAAAAGTTTATGTTGTTATACCTTATTTTCCCCAATCATATTAAACCACTTGAGAAAGAAAATCTTTTTAAGTCTTGGTCAAAATTAACAAACTTTCCCTTCCCCTTCATATAATTATCCTTTTAATTGCTTAGTTCTCTCCAATTATATTTTCAAAGTTTCGTCAACCTACTTGTATACGGGTAAAACCGAGTCTACTGAGCGCTTCGGTTTTTCGGTGAGGCAAGCCGAGCTGGGACGTGACCGTAAGGAATCGAAATCAGAGCGAGGAGCCCCTCGTATCAGGCTCGAGCAAAACACCTACCCTCGGAGGCATCGGGACCACGTCCTCCGGGTCCAAGTCCGGATCGAGTCCCAAGACTTCGGAGAGCATTACCAAACAACCACACGACTAACAAAGGGGTGTGATATCCGTGCCCAACCAGATATCACGACGTTAATCTCGGCCCGTATCGGCAGAAAATCAATAATTCACGAAAAGGAAGATTTTTACCTTTCTTAGAATTGTACTTAAGATAAAACTCTCCTACTATATAAAGGGAAACTTATTATTCGTCAGACATTATAACACGCATACTAAGGCAATATACTTTTGTTCTCCTGTTTCTAAAAGTTATTCAAAGTTCTTGTTTTTGGTTATAAGTTTTTTATAAGTGCAAGCTCGGAACCGAAGGCAGGCTCCCCGTTAAGCCATTAACCGAGCTCGGACTCACTCTTATCATTGGTTTGGCCATTTATTATATCTTTTATTTGCTTAATCTAACATCATTGATCACTTTTATTGAATAATCCACATATCCTTAAAACCGCGTATAAATTCAATTGTTATCTGTTTTTAAAGGTAAACACTACTTTTTAAAGGCAGACATATCGTTCAATCATTTTATTTTATTTTTTACCTGTTGTTCGTATTGGAGCCTCATCTAATTTGATTTCATGTCATGTAAGATCCATTAAAGGTGGCAACGCTTTATATTGGAATTTTTTTATTCTCATGATTCGACCCATGACCTTTGATTATCGGTCAAGAGATCCTATCCATTCCACTACAATTCTTGAGGTTCACATCGCATCATAATCATTCAATACTCTCACCATAGTTTTTGAGAAATTACATTACATCTTTTTTTTTAAAACTTCCTGTGGACTCTAATTTGTTGTATTTTTAGACGTTCATCTTTGGCAGCTGCAAAAAAGGACTTGCCCTTTGGGTGTAAGATTGCTTTTAAAGAAAGAGTAGAAATTACTTTTAGACTTTCGTCTTTGGAAAGGCAAAAGTGCTAAAACGTGTAAAATATAACTCATTATACTATTTCCTTTTTATCTATAGTAATAAAACATGAGATAATAAAGCATTGAAATGGGTGGGTATAGAAAACGACATAAAAAAAGAAAAAGAAAATAAGTATAGGTAGGGTTTATAGCAACTAGGAATATGAAATAATTCTTCATTTTTATTCCATTTGTTCAAAGATTTCATAAAGGCTAATATATACCCCACCTAAAGCTACCTTGACCTTAAGAAGGAAAGTTAATAATTGATCATATATAACTCAATTATTAGAGATCAATCTATTATTTTTATTTCCTTTTTATAATATTAGTTGTAGATTGTTTTTTTGCGTAATTAAACTTACCTTTATTTGATGCTTATGAAAAAAATTAAAGTAATTACTATATGAAAACATAAAAACACTACTCTCTGGTCTTTGTATCTGTTACTTTAGTTAAGAAAAATGGTTCAAAATTTTGTCACATACAAAATTAAGAAAGTATTGATCGTTTTCTAATAATTCTTTTAAGAGTGTACTAAAGTTTAAAATGACAGGTTACAAATCGTTAGGGAGTATTCTTTGCGGTCCACTTTAAGTGATTTTTTGGTTCTTTTCATACATATTAAAGATTCACATTTTAGCATTAATTAATGATTATATTAATTTTGATTTACTCATTGAAAATATAACAAACTATTCCTAAGTTCTTTACTCCAATAATAACTTTGGAAAAAAAATGTTGCATAATTCCTTTTTGATAATTAAAAAAATTAAATATTATGGATTATAAAAAATGACAAAAAAATCAATTACAGTGGAGATGAGGAGTAGTAATTAAGTAAACGCATTATATCATTTCCAAGGCATCGAGTCTATCACCGATACACTTTCAATGACATTGGGCAGTGGTCACATAGAATGACCTCCCCCCCCCCCCCCCCCCCCCCCCCCCCACAACAACAAAAAAAAACCCAAACCCCCAACTCAGCAACCTTGAAACCAACTGTGTAAGAGCGTGTACGTATAGTTAAGGCATTGACACAAGAAAAAAGCTTGCAGTATAAAGCATATGTTAGGTTAAACCGGAATATATATAATGTGATATTGTCCGCTTTGATTCAAGGACACACGGTTTTTCTTAAAAGATATTACATCATTTAGAGATTAATACACTTTATATGCAGGCTATCAATTCTTTCAGTTATCTGTGAGACTTAATTTGCACATCCAATAATTTATATTATTATATTTTTTCTTATTTTCTATCATGTGCCCGTACTTGCTTTTAGGCCTCGATAAATATGAATTCATGTTGCGTATCGTCGATAAAGGAGGAAGCATTACGTATAAGAATTTTTTCTCGAACCCGAGATCAGCGGTGGAGCTAGGGGGCATAAGGGGGTATCCCTTTGTTGAAAAATTATATATACTGTCTGTCGATTTGTTTACCCTCAAAATCGTATAATAATTGAATTTATTTGTTTACCCTCAAAATCGTATAACAATTGAATTTATTAGTGGTTATAAGGATATGTGGATTAACTTGATACAAAGCG